CTGCTCAGCTCGGGCTGGACTCGAACCGCTGTTGCTCAGAGCTCAAACTCTTGAGCGAGCTCTTAACCAACTGAGCCACTCGGCCGGCCCTGTTCCGGGCACCTTTTACCCTTGGGCCCACGTCTCCTAAAGCCCCTCTCCGGAAACACTGCTCCACTTTGAAGCAGAAGCTGCAAGGGGAGAGGTTTTCTCAGTTCTTTCCCAGGGAAGCAATTGGCACAGAAATGACCTTTCGCATGAAGTAGGACACGGCTGAAAGAGCCGTCAGGGACAAGGTGAGTTCCAGCCTCTCTCTGATGCCAGTGCCATTAGCTATCACTTCAGTAAGGCTTCTTCTGCTCCGTCCTCTCCTGGGCTCGCGGCGTTGGGGCGCAGGCTGGGCAGCTGGCATATCCGCTATTACAGACGCTAAGAATACCACAGGCCTCCTGCAGGCTCATTACAGGTAATGTGCTCAGAGTTCAGTCATCCCATTTTTGCTCTCAGAATGGCCTTTGGCTAATGGCTTCATTAAAGCCCCAAACTCCCTCATGGATTAATTGTGATTAGCTTTCAAGAGGTTGTTGCAATCTCTCTCTCTCTCTCTCCCTCTCTCTCTCACACACACACCCCTTCACATCTTCCTCTACCTAACACTTCCTGTCCCTAACCTGAACTACTGCCAAGATTAGGCTGGTTGGGCACTAGATATTTTCACTGACCAAAGTCAGGTTTAAGAGCAGGAAACCAGCAGCCACGGGGACACCAGACGGTGAAGGCAGTCCTGGCCGCCAGGACCAGCTGGCTCAGGCACACGGGGGAACGTCCCTGTACTCAGAAACCACTTTCCCGATCCGTTTTGGTGAGTGTCTGTCACCCATGGGCACTGGGAGTCTGGGGTCCTGGCTTCTACTCTGTGCTTTGGCGTCAGCTTTCTGTGTAACCCGGTCCTGTCTCTCACCTTTTAGAATCTTTGCCTCTTCGTTTAGGGGTTGGGTTCATCATCTTTCCAGCTGTCAAATCTTACACGCCCATGGAGAGTCAACAGCCATTTAGGGAGCACTCACTCTGCACCTATCATGTCCTTGTCACTGGGTTACAAAGTAGTGGCCCAGAGGGAGAAGTCCCTGCTCACACAGACAGATAGGATGGCGGGGCAACGCGAGCACGCAATCAAGCTACTGTGCTCATCAGGGCTCTTTCCTTAACTGGTGACAAATATCCAGCTCAAGTTGGTCTAAGCAAAGAGGGGACCAACTGCCTTGCGAGGCTCAAATATCCCCGGGGAGAGGCCTCAGAGGAACGGAACCCGCCGACACCTTGACCTTGGACTTCTGGCCTCCAGAACGCACCGAACATTAAAGTTTTGTTGTTTAAGCCCCCAGCCTGTGCGTTTTGCTGTGGCAGCCCAAGCTGACTCATACAAGATTTTAACAGCCCTGGACATTAAGCCGGGAAGACGGGCAAAGAAATGTCCTTGATTGTGACCTCAGAAGGAGCCACTGGTATCATGAGGAAAGGGACAGGCTCTTGGCAGAATCAGAGAGGAGAGGCGTTGGTGTGTCTGGAGGAGGCTACGCCCTCCCATCGTGAGCCAGAGGGCAACTGTGTTGTGCTGAAAAGAATCAATCAAGTGCGGTGCTTTAAATCACTGCCGTCTCCAGTTTGAGCAAAGCCTGAGGCTTCGCAGAAACACACTCTGCGACTGGATTCGCCCTCATAAATGTAAATTGGTGTTGCTGTTTCCCTGTATTGTTACAAGTCGTATTTTTAATTTTTAAATAAAGAAAGAACACAGAATTACTTGTGGCGCGTTAGAAAGACCAAAGCAGGTGAGCTGCCAGAGGGATGTTAGACTAGCAGGCTGGCCGAGGCGTGGGTGTGAAGCCGCGCTGCCAACCCCACCCGAGGGCCCTCGCCACGAGAAGCGAATGTGGAAATGTGTTCTGCGCATACGGCAGGGTGTCACTCAGCCATGAAAAGGCACGAAGCCCTGACACTCGCTACAACGTGCGGGGAGGGACCTTAGAACTTGATGCTGAGTAAGAGAAACGAGGCGCGCAGCGCCATAGTATGCGACTCCATTTCTATAAAACGTTCAGAGCAGACAAATCCATAGACAGGAAGCCGAGGGGTGGGTGCCAGGGGCTGGGGGAGGGGACTGGCTGCTTAAAGGGTGTGGGGTGTCTTTTTGGGGGGTGATGAAAATCTTCCGGAATCAGACAGTGGTGATGGCTGCGCAACCTTGCAAATAGACTAAGAGCCATTCAATTACAGACTTCCGATGGTGCGTTATGCGGCATGTGAATTACATCTCAAAACAAAAAGAGAGAAAGAAAACAGAATGTGGGATGAGGGCTGGTACCACGGAGCGTCCACAGCCACGCGCAGGCCTGGCTCTGCTCTTGGCTGGTCGTGGGGCTGCCGTGAAGCCGTCCAGTCCATCCACCCTCAGCCTCCTTGTCCCAGGAACAGGACGAAGAGAAAACATGTCTGTAGCTCAGACGCCACACGCCTGAACTGCTAAACCAACGTGGGGGGTTCACATCTCACGGGGGTAGGAGGACGGCGTGGGTTTAAGCTAAAATGTCCAGGGAGCAGGAAACCCCCTCTCATGCATACAGGTCTGGGAGGCATGTAGAGGGAGTGCTTCATAAAAAGAAATAAAACAGAGGTGACATCGGGGTAGCTCAAGCCCCGTGTCAGGTGCAGATAAATACTCCCTTTCCCATCACCAACCCACAGAGCGGGAATGAGGGTCCCCAGTCTCTGGATGGGGAAACCGAGGCCCTGAGCTGGTCCATGGACTAGTCCAGGGTACACAGTCTGCAGGTGGCCACCCGGTTTGAACGTGGCCCACTGGACTGGACCGCGTGTCCTGGACCACCCTCTCTCCTACCGCTTTTCAGGTCCAGGGTGAGGACGTGGGACGGGCCCGCCTGAGAACCTGCCTCTGCCCTTTTCTGGCACATATTTAACTTCTCCAAGCACCAGATTCCTCGCTGTGAATTCGGCTTGCTGTGAAGATGAAACCGGATCATGTTTACGGATTGCCTGTCAGGGCCTGGGACCAAGTCCGCGTGGACTCCAAGGCAGCTAATGTGACGTGTCTGGGATTAGGCGACCAGTACATGCACAAAAGCCCCCGCCCCCCACTTTCCATCTATTGGGGTCGTGGAGGGGTAAGGTCAGGAAACAGAATATTTAAAAATAAGGCCAGTGCTTAGCAAGCATCCAAATGCATGCAACCTGGAGTGACAGGATATTTGTGCCTTTTGTATTCATTTCAGGGTGTTTTTTTTGTTTGTTTGCTTGTTTTTTTTAATAAAAGAGAGAAAAACGTGGCTGATAACTTTGAAACCTCCTTTGTCGCTTTCCCCAGGCCT